AGCGGGCTTCCTTCACCACGCATGGGTGAATGAAGTCGCCCTGAGAACCGGAATCCCACAGCGCTGAGTACACCCTCGTGGAGGTCCCGAGTCGTACTGGGATGATCGGGAGGGTGCGGTCAGGGTCAGAGAGGATGGCGAGAAGGCGACGCAGTGCAGCGACATGGAGGGTGAGTCGCTCCTGACGAGCCTGGAGCATGCTCAAGTCCAGAAGAGAGGACACAACGTCCTCGCGAGTAGCAAGCTGCTCGCTGCAACGGGTTGAGCGAATGGCTCGACGTGTCGGTAGTCGCGGCGGGGAAGGAGGGGAGACGGTGGTCGGCGGAGGCGCAGACGCTACTGCGACAGAGGGCTGAGTACACTCTGTCGAGTCCTGGGACACCTCAACTCCAGTAGCGAGAGGAGCGAACCGCGACGGAGATGTCGGGAAGCCCACTACTGAGGAGGGCGCAGGTGTACACTGCACCGTGGCTAGGAGGCGCCGCGGGGACGTGCGGCGCCGGGGGGGGATTGAGCACAACGCTGACGAGAAAGGTCAGCGTAGTGGCGGTCGAGGGCGGTAGTGTAAGGGCAACGCGAGGAGGTATGACCGTCCAAGCGGCAACGCAAACACCCACGTCGGCCGAGAATAGTCGCGCGCTCCTCAGCGGAAAGGACACCGCGAGGAGGGACGAAGCCCTGAGGGAGGTCCTCCTGAGGGACCTCGGGGGGCGACGCGCCAGCATGACCGGGGCGGCTGCACGCCCGAGATAGGGCGGAGAGCGCGAGCTGAAGGCGCTGAGCTGCAGGGAGGGTCGAGTCCTCCAAGTGATAGTGGATGGCCTCGCAGAGGTCGAGGTCGTCGCTGTGGTCGCCCTCAGGTGACAGTGGGGCAATAGCGTCCTGCTCACCATACTCCAGCGCGCTGAAGCGGCGTGAGAAGTGGCGGCTCTGCTGCGTGGAACGGCGGGCGCGACCGCGGAAAGGGGAACGGCGCTGGGAAGTGCCGTGAGAGGAGGAGGAGGAGTAGCCCGTGCGCTGGGGCTGGGAGGAGGAGGCGGGGTGAGGACAGGCTCGCATCCGCTGGTGGTCCCTGGCGGCCTTGTAAGCCTGTGGGGCCGATGTGAACTCGTACCGCCATAGCTCGGAGCGGTACTTGAGCGGAAGGCTGGCCAAGAAACGATCGATAAGGGCAGCCTCGGGGAGGAACACCACGTCGCAAACGAGCCGGGCGTCCTGAAAGACTTGGATGTGGCGATCCAGGCCGGCAGCGCCACCAGAGCCTGACCAGCGTGTAGTGACGACACGCTCGAAGGCGTTTGTCACGTCATATCGGGCTCCGAACCGATCCTCGAGGAACGCCTGAAAATCCACGAAGGTCGGAGTCCGACCCTCACGAAGGGAGTAGGCATAGAAATCCTCCCTGGCCTCGAAAGGATCGCCACGGAGGCGAGTGGAGAGGTGACCCACCCATGTCTCGGGTGTGGCGCCCATGAGCTGGAGTGTGCGGGTGGCAGACTGCAGCCACCGAGACACGCGTATGCCTGTACCGTCATACAAGGCAATGTCCGACAAGCGAATGAGTGGTGCGCCACCGTTTTGGCGGCGAGGGGATCGAGGAGCGGAGGCCTGTGCCATGGCTGCGTAAGTCGGCGCAGGTCGTGGAGAAAGGGGCGCAGCTGACTGTGCGCCCGGGCCGCATGGGGGAGCGGCGGTGGCAACAGCAGCAGGCTGCGAGGGTGCTGCGGTAGAAGAGGTCGCAGCAACGGCGGGAGTAGGAAGAAGGTAGGAAGGAGTTGTATAGGGTGCAGGGCGCGGAAAGCGAGCCTGCATGGGAGAAAGGGTAGAGGAGGTAGCGGGTGCACCCGAAGGCGCGGCCACCTGTGAGGGTGCGGGTGGCTGAAGGCGTAAGAGGGCGAGGTCGGCCCGGAGCTGGGCAATCTCGTTCGTGAGACCTCGAACGTAGGTCGATCGAGGGGTGGCAGGAGGAAGAGTGGAGGGGGTGGACGCACAAGCGGTGCGGGGCATCCCAGAGGGGGGAGAGCCAGGTGGCGCAGCGGTCGTGCGAAGGGGGGGGAGGAGCGGGGCACCCGGAAAAGCTGAGACCATGGTAGCGGGTTGTTGTGCCGTGGCCGTAGTGACCGGGATCTGGGCAAGTGCGCCCGTAGACTGAGGGGGGGCCTGGCTCGTGGCGGCCGTCGTGCTAGGGGCGTGGACAGTCACCAAGATGGCCGGGTCAGGGGCAACGGAGGAGGAAGCTCCGCCGTGGCCACCCTGTCGGAGGACGGGGGACCCGGACTGGGAGCCAAGAGATGACGGACACGCACCGTCCTGGAGTTGCTGCATGCCGGCGGCAAGGGTCGCCACTTGCGCCGGTAAGGGCGCGAGGGTCGCGAGTTGCGCCTGGATGGGTGCAAGGGTCGCGAGTTGCGCCTGGATGGGCGCAAGGAGGGAGGTGAGGAGGGTGTGTAGATCCCCCTGGGGCTGATGACCCTGGTCCGCCGGCACGGGTGTGGAGCCCGATGCCGTGGTCATCGCCGTGTCGGCGGCGTGTAACGCACCGTCGGCCATGGGGAGATGACAGACCGGACTGGAGGTGGCCAGAAGAGCTCCGCGTGAGCGGAGCCGCGTGAGCGGAGGGCATGGGGGGAAGTCCGCGGTAGAAAGCGGCGAACGGCGCTAGCAAGGCTAGCACGGGCGCCGTCAAAGGGGGAGGGGTGGTTCGGGTCCAAGATGCTCGAAGAGGACGGGGAAGTAGGGGGGTTTTGAGGAACCCTAAACCTTACAAAAACCCTAAGAAAACCCTAACCGAGGTTTAAGGCTAGGTTAGGGTACCGGTGACCTAATCAAGAAAGT